ATGAATAGTTTTCGGAAAATAGATACAGCTCGATTTTTCTTTACTGTATACAGATACATTACTAAAATAAAAAAATTTTCAAAATATATTAATTATCTTGTTATCATTACATATTAAAAATATTTTTTGTAAGCAAAATAATAATTCAGATTTTTACCAACTCGCATTGATAAAATGTTGATATTGAATGGGATTTTGACGATTGTTAGTGTTTTTTTATTCGTATAATGGGCCTACTGGTAGTTTAAACACCGTGTTGCTATGTACATAAATATCTAGGAATAAACCCAAAATAATCCCCATTTTGTTGAGAAGTTCCAAAATTAATAACGTGATTACAATGAAGTAGTCATTATAAAACTTCTGTCCATAAATAATTGATTTAGTACACTTATTTTCAAGCAAACCCGTATCATTACTATGCACACGTAAATCAAGACTTTTCAAAAAAATAAAGGAAAACAATTTCTGTAAATTTTTGTATGTTTCTTGCTTTTTCTACTATACATGGTGGTTATGTAGTGTCTGCAATATTCGCCTTATCAGCACCTTCGATAGCTCAGTTGGTAGAGCGGTGGACTGTAGAGGCAAAACAGCTGATATCCATAGGTCGCTGGTTCAAATCCGGCTCGAAGGATTTATATTTTTGAATATTATTAACAGTTATTTCAAACTTTGTCCACAAAGTCAAAAATTTTTCTCTTTGTTTTACAATAATATGAAAGTTTAGTATTTTAAAGAAAATCTATATCATATTCATTTATTTCTGTAGGTAGATATTCTTTTAAGTCAAATTCAACCAAATTTGAGAATTTTATTGACCACGTATATCTTTTTGAAATCTATTTGAATTTTTTCATAGTTTGGTCAGCATTTTCTATAGTTTTACCTCTATCGTCTTCCACCTTAGGCTATCTTCCTGAAAACAATGTGTGCTTCGTTCTACTATTGAACCAACATCATTGCTTACACTTTTGTAATCGCATATCTTTCTGAATAAGCCTTTACGGCTTGTATAACTGCAATGACTTGTACACATTGCAAATTTAATAATTAGAAAATCGTTGGTAAACAAAATGCTAACCTATCAAGTCCATAATGTTAAAATCGTACTTCAATGATAATTACTTACTAAAAGCTGAAAATTTCTTCTTGCCCAGTCTTTTTATAATGAATTGCAATGTAAAACAACACAATTTAAACACAGACGAAACAACAGTTTAATTGCACATTTCAAGATGTCCTCTGTTAGTCCTTCCCCATTTGACTACAACTTGTCTCAATTGAATCTTAACTGTAGAACTCGCGGACTAGTTGTGCAGCTCAGCCTCCATCCGTAGGAATATTCCATAACAAGTAGACCATCAACGCCATGCAGAAACCGGCTCTGCAGGATGAAGAGTCCCGATGTACGACGATGATCTAGTTTACCAAGTAAATATGCTAAACTGTTGTCAAGAACACAATTGTTAGAAATCAGCTGAGATTAACGCATTGTCAGCTCCTTCGATAGATCAGTTGGTAGAGCGGTGGACTGTAGAGGCAAAACAGCTGATATCCATAGGTCATTGGTTCAAATCCGGCTCGAAGGACTTTATTTTACTCATTGTTGTGGTTTGCCCCTGAGCTGGTAAGACAAATATTAATAGTGGTTTATTTACCTTGTATTTTCGTCACAGCTAAAAAAAACGCACGTGTTTTTAGCGTTTTTATAGCGCGTGTACGGCGTTTTTTTTAGTGTTAATATGTCCGTATGTGTTCGTGTTTGTGTTCATGTGTTTTTGACGACGTCCAAGCGACCGACTATGACAACAACAACTATGCTTTGATTCTCGACATGTCCTACGTGACCATGACGCAAACGGCGTCGAAACCATGGTTGTAGCTTCTATACAACATTTTTGAGCTGTGACGAAAATACAAGGTAAATAAACCACTATTAAGACTTTATTTTACACCGTTGTAAAATTAGATGTGAAACTTTTGATTGTGATTGCCAATTATGAACTTTTGCAGTAACTTATTTTCTCTTATAATTTAGGAAATCAATGTTTACCTATATCTATTAGTATTTTATGAACCGGTACTGCTCCAGAGGGAACAAATTTATGGGTCACTACACTGCCTTTTATCAGGTTTAAAGTAGACCTAATTCTTAACCATCCCAATACGCAACATGTGCCTACCAAGACCAAATGCATGGATGAAGTGTAAATTACTGAGGGATCTCATCCATTGTTTCTTTGCTATCTGCTGTTTGTATTGTTGTTTTCGTCGGAAGAATATCTTTGGCAGCTTAGGAGGACCAACCACTTTAAAGAAAAAATTGATATCTTATCGTTTCACACCGAGTAACACATAACTTAGCCATTGATTACTTAATAGTCAATAGTGTAGCTTGGTGTGAAAATACTAATGTATCAGCATATCACATGTGTTATCAAAATCGTTTACTCTCCGCAATGTCAGCTCCTTCGATAGCTCAGTTGGTAGAGCGGTGGACTGTAGAGGCAAAACAGCTGATATCCATAGGTCGCTGGTTCAAATCCGGCTCGAAGGAATTATCTTTTGCACTCAATGTATATTAGGTCTGTAAACACATTTACTGACTCAGGTGTGCTTTTTTGCCCTGTGTTTCATGTTGACAGCAGATTGCATACAGTCAGTTAAAAATCAATTCATTGTAGGTTTATTGCAGTTTTGAATACATCATTGCGTGCTATTGCAAATCAGAATCCGAGTTGATCTGGTCAAATTTAGCATGAACTGAATTGGCTACATGAATCATTGTTTTTATGGCGGCAAATTGACAAATTGTCATGTTTGAAGCGGTTGAAATGTTTACTACTTCGGGAGCAATGAAGTACACGAGTCGCAGACTTACAAGGTTGCTCAATTGTTCCTTTGTATTTCCACTCATTTGGTTGTCTTTAAACATTTTACATTTTGAATGTCCTTGAGGGCAAGCGAGGAGGAAAAGGTAGCAAAGTGTTTGTTAATTTTTATGGGCGTAAAATACTTTGATCATTAAATAATCAAGTGGACTAATGTACTGATTGTCTTAAGCTTGGTAGTAAATGATAGGCCTAATGTTTATAACCTCGTATTAATATTTTTAGATATGTTTGCTTTAGTTCAGAGATTGTGGTGACGATCTGGGCGTTGCACGGCCCCACAAGAATTAAAATAACATAATTTTTACAAACCGATTAAAATAATCTAAGCACCGCTGGATTAGTCATAAAATTGACTTTAAATAAATAACAGTTATAAGTTTTAGCGAATTTCCCTATAGGGAAGTAGCTATTACCGTAGGTCTCATGGTAAGACTTAGGCCCGGGACCGATTCACTTTTTCATTTTAATGTCCCCAGAGGCCAAAAACACCATTCGTTCAAATTTTTATATATATATATATATGTGTCCGTGAACACGATAACTTGAGTAATTTTTATCCGATTTTGATGCAATTTGGTTTGAAGGTGTAAGGCGGGATAAACTTGAATGAGTTCGCGATCCAGCATGATCGGTCCATGGGAACAGGGTTTTATGGGGTAAAAATTGGTTTTTCTCACTTTTTACCCTCAAAACACAAAATTTCCCAATTTTTCTCTAAACCTTCTTAAAGAGCTTAAAAAAACAAACAATTCAGTATATCAAAGTGTTTTTGTACGGTTATTGGTTACGGAGAAAACTAAAAAAATGGTAAATTTAAAATTCCCATGTTATTCTTATGGAGAATATTGTAAAATGTTGTAGTTTGTTTGTTTATGGATATATTTTGATCAAACTTGGCAAATTTATTTATTTTATAGTAAGCTATCAATATTTTACTAAAAACACACTACTTTATTAGTTTCCTTGTAGCAGCAAACCTAGGTACTCGTTAAACCTAATGTTATTTAAATAGATCAATTGAAAATCAATTCGGCCAAATGGAAATTCGCTTAGACGGCAGGTTTGCTGCGGCGGGGGTATTTGTAACATATCACGCTTTTTTAGATATTAAAGGTAAGAAATTCAAATGGCCGCCGCGCCGTTTTGAATTTGTACAAAGCGTAGTCTTTGTTTGCAGGTAGGTCCCTTTTACTCCATACATCTTGGGTAGGTCCTACTCCTGTTTGTCAACATACATTTAGACCTACTAATTATGAATTATTATTTGTAAAATGTCACAGGTAGACTGACAGGAAACCAAACATTTTAGACCCGTGTAAGGTTTTTCTGGAACAAAATACACTAATTTTTAGGAAGCTTTTTTGTAGCCTCAAACTCGAAATAAAAGACACGCTTTGCATGCTAAACATCTGGTTTAGAACCGTAAATCGTATTTTTCGGCATAATGGAGCAAAAATAGCAGTTTTAGGCCCCGTCCTTCCTAGCTGCGTGCGAATCGACCGGTGGTAAACATTTCAAACGCATGGAAAGACATGTTGTAATTTTCGATTGTAAGCAATCGTATTGATCGAAATTATTTATAGATTTATTTTATTAGGTTATGTTTTAGCAAATCGTTGCATTCTTGTCAATAGCTCAACATATTGATGTACGGTAACACAATCTTAATAGACGAAATGATTGAATCCCTTACTAAAAAGATGGTTATTTATACATTATTACCAGAATTTGGAACAATATGGAAATCGTTTTGAGAGGCTATCTGTACATGAACAAGTATTTTAGTTTCCTAGACAATTAATCGTGCAATATGAGAAAAATATAGTTCATCACTCGATGAAAAAGGTTCTTTTCAACTCTCGCTCATTTTCCTGAAAATTAGTAAAACTTGAGGTCGGGCCGAAAGAGTCACTTTACGCCGTAGTGATGAAATATATTATTAACAATGGATAATATCACTGTTTATTTGAACAACTCATTATGTTTTCAAATTTCAAACAGATTGGCAAAAATAGTGGAATTTCATAAACACCATCAATAAGACATATTTTACTACGTATTACAATTTCGTAATAAACTAATTTTGAAATATTTATGTTCTAGGGTGGTAACACGGATTCCAAGAAGCTCTGCTTTTAGTAAGTATTACATTTTTATTTCTTCTCTCTACTTAAGTAATATTTATACTTAAGTCATATAGGCCTACATATATAAATATTATTTGGTATCAGATACTACTGAACACAGAAAAAAACAATCATTTGTATTAATTTAATTTGGTTACAACGTAATTATTTTTGTTTGTGTTAACATTGTTTGAAGTAACGTATTGAGTACTATTTTTATCGACAACCACGTAGTTACCATAAAACCAGTAAACTGCGCTGTCTGTTGTTGAAAACATACATTTTTGAGCTGATGAAATAAAGCAATTAGAAAATGTACCATTGACTGAACCTTTACTATAACAAATATGGATGATAGCATAATAGTCAGTAGCTTTACTATGAAATCCTCAACATTTTTCTCTATAAATATAAAAAATACATTTTCACATAAATAAATGATAAAAAAATAAATTTTTCATGATAAAAGAATAAATTTTTACATAATAAAAAATACATGTTCACACAAATCATAGTAAATTAAGTTTATTTTCAACAGACATTTCCAATACACAGTATTTTTAAATTCAGTAAGAATTTTGGTCGAGCAAAAAGTAATTCCTTCGAGCCGGATTTGAACCAGCGACCTATGGATGTCAGTGTTAATGCCTCTACAGTCCACCGCTCTACCAACTGAGCTATCGAAGGCGCTGAGAGTCGCAGTATTCAATTTCGTTCCTAACTAGTGTGTTGTTCATCTATAAATGGGAAATGTTAATCGGACAAAATTGTTGATTTCAAATCTTTTTAAACAATTTAGTTTTAAATAAATATAAATTGGTTCTTGTGATGTAATAGTTTATTATTTATTATGTTATCGTAAATTTTATCTGAATTATTGTGCAGCCACGTTTGTTGTTAGTAAAAGTAAGAATAGTTATATGAGTTATCAGAATGTGAATATCATATTTATCAAGTACTCTACTAAGTCATACTTACCTAGTAGTAAAAAAAACATTTTTATTAAATACTTGAATATTACGGCCGCATTGTAAAGGCATAGATTACCTGACTGTTTAATTTACTACTTTACCAGTCTCCTTACGTCTTTTGCCAAGATATATCAACGCAACTTCGTAATTAATGTACCTTCGTTAATGTACCTGCCACTTACAATATGGCAGTACATACATATAGACATTTAAATATTGTTTTAGCATTAGATTATAAGCTACAAAAACTTTCTAAAATTAATTTTACAAATAATAATGTTAACGTAAAACAGCGTACACTACAATGGACTTACGTAATATACTAATTTACTAGACACTACTTATGTATTAAATACTCTTATTAGATTATATGCTTCTAAGATTTTTATGTCTCTGCTATTTAGTTACTGCATACTTCTTGGATACTCCTTACTGTATACACAAAACTCTTTGTAAAGTATTAATGCATTGGAATAAAGACAACTGACTGCTTTAAAACCTATTGGAAAGGTACATAATGGATCCCATTGATATAAACATAGTATAAAACTAAAAAGGTAACAAAACCATAGGTAGCGATCATTTCGAAATCATTCATATAATGTGGATAAGTCTCCAATGCACTTTTTCTGCAGGTCAGGATAAAAAGCTAATAAAAAATAACCTTAGTACCAATCTGGTTGTGCTGTAACTCTTTAGTTTGTGATTTTAAGACTTTAAGATAACAATTTTTTAAATTAATAAGCAATGCTTTTGAACAATCTAAAATTGCCAACCTACTCCAGGCAATGTTTCGAGTCAACTCATTTCGCAACTTTAAAAGTTTCATCGCAGACTTTCTCACAGACGATCACAACAAATGTGTATCACACCCGCGAATCACAGATAAGATTGTTATCATTGGTATGGCGTCACGGGGATTTTCAGAAGCAGGATGTTCGATCTAGAGTTGAGATATCGTTAGGCAATCTCCAACGAAATCATCCAACGCAGGATTTCGTGTCACGTGAGCAAGTTGTTGTCACGAGTTCGACGCGTGTAATTTATGTACAAGTTTGCAATTCGCAGCTGGAGCGAAATTAGTTTTTGCGGAGTTTTCACATTGTTCGCGTTGCAAATCAGTCGAAGGGTGCAAGTGTTCGGAGAGTGAGGTGGTCTATGAGTAGAGCGTGGGGTTTCAGTCTCTGAGGTCCTGGGTTCAAATCATGCCAAACACAAATGAATCTCGACTATGTGCTAATGCTATTACTCTCTGGCCATAGCTTGAAGGTGGGTTCAGTTCAATGACGTGAAATTCGAGAAGCGACTTTGTGGACGTGGACTGGTTAGTGAGTCTTGTATATGGACGTCAAAACTCCCAATTTCTTGTTTGGGTAATACTTATCGTTTCTAGATAGTCTCCTTTCCTAGTTCCTTCATCTGTGTATCTACTCACAACGTATGCACGTGAATGTGTAAGTAAACCACTATTAAATAAACCCCAAGATTTTAAATTATTTAAACCGTTTCAAAAGTCTAAACTTCGGTTGGTAGCTCTGTTTTGTAGACGTTTTCCTGGTGATTTAGCAGCATCTGTCAAGTCATCGTCTGATAGGAAATACATTACGTGTTACCTTAGGCGAGCTAGCTCTATTGACTAATCGCTCTTGCATGGACTATATCGCTCATCTTGCCCGTTAAATGATCAGTGTTAACAATACGTATATGATTTGCTTGCTATTGACACTTAAATGTTATCCTTTGATCTGTTATTTTAATATTCCGTTAGAAAGATGTTTTTAGTTAATTCATAGATGTTCAATCTTAAATGCACACTTTCGCATGGGATAGGCACTAAGTTAGCTTAAACACTTTTTAATTAATCAAATCTGATAGTTTAATAGTCTGATAGTGATTAACGCACGACAATGAAAATCTAGAATTACGTTCTCAATGTACTTCTTAGTTACTTTAAGTTACTGACAAGGTAGTTATTTTGTTTTTGGTAATTTAAACAGCATTTTTTCTGATCAGCAGAACTATTACAATCATAGGACCCACAATACTGTTCCTGAAATGAACAAATACTGTATTTAGAGCAACGAACTTATACAATGTTAGTCTCTGATTTATTATCGTTGTTAAATCGCAATTACGTAAATTAAACTATTTGCTTTTGCAACAAATAACACTACAGTTTTCCTCCGCGCTCCAAGCTGGTTGTGGCTTTTACTATTTTACGAGCAAAAGGCAATCACGCCAAGCCGAGGCCTAAACTAGTTACATTATTTACTCTGAAACACACCCATCCCTGTACACTATCTTGGGGCCCTGTTGAACTGCGTGAAGTTAGTTTCTTATGTTGGTTTTGCTGAACCAATCAAATTGTTGACGCTAAAACCATGTATTTGTTCATAGTATTAGTATGTAATGAATATTATAGGCATTAAATTGAAACTAAAAACCAATTGCATACACCGTGAAGGTAAATTTTCTAAGTTTTCTAAGTTCTAAGTTCTACGAATGGAAATTCGTGAAATATATACAGTTTCCATTTTAGCGAATTTCCCTGTAGGGAAGTAGCTACTGTCGTAAGTCTCATGGTATATCATGGTAAGACGTAGGCCTGGGTGATTTAATATTTTATTTTGATGTCCCCAGAAGCCCAAAACAACATCCGTTAAAATGTTATGTATATATAGAGAGATGTATGACAAATGACAAATTCTTTTTTTAACCTGCCCTGAGTTAGACCAAAGTTCCACTCTTCCCCCAGGACAGGAACAACAAATATACAAACAACATATACTGTACATGTACAGAGTTGTGGACTATGAAAATCTAAAATTTACTTTTAATAAGTGAAAAACACAAATTATATAACAATACAGAAGTGTAAAAAAGAAATTAACTTACACTTACAAATCAAAACATATTACATTGATAACTAAAGATTTTATCACCTAAAACTATTATGGGATTATCAAACAAAATGAGGATACCTAATATTTATACTTGTGTAGAAAGTAATAGTTGAAAAAAAAACACTACATCTTCATTACATAGTGATTTTATACTTCATATTTTTGTAATAACAGCTTTTTTACTGCTTTAGAAAAACTTTTAGGGTTATTAAGGTTTTTTATCTCACTATCTAAATTATTGATAGGTCTAATCGATAATACATGGAAAGATTTGTTATATATCATCGTTCTATGCACAGGAAATTGAATTATCTCATTACCAAATCTAGTTCCTCTCATATGGATATCACGCATTCTTGAGTACATTTCAAACAAATATTCCGGCTTACAATTATTTAGAACTTTATAAACTGTGTTTAAAACATTTAATTCTCTTTTCTCTTTAATCTTTAACCAACCCAACTGACGATAATACCTTGTTACATGATCATCCAGTCTTAAATTAAATATATATCTAATACAGGAATTTTGAGCAACTTGTATTCTGCTAGTTAGATCGTCATTAGTCACAATATACAGCAATGGCATAGTCAATGATAGGAAAAATTAATGTTTCTACTAGCTCTTTCTTAAAACGTAATTTTGTGGATTGAAACATAAGCGTCTAAATTGGCACAAACAACGATATATTCTATTGCAAACATTGGTCACTTGATCAGTCCACGATAGGTTCTTTGCCAATGTAATTCCTAAGTTGATAACACTTGTTTCATACTTTAACTCTTGACCATTAATTACTACTCGATGAATATTGTCCATGTTTATTGTGTTTAATAGCCTTGATGTTCCTATTACAATAGGTTTGTACTTCTGTAAATTTAAACTAAGACCATGACCTTGACACCACTGAAATACAGAAGATAGGTCCGCATTTAACATATCTACAGCATCATTAATTTTACCAACATTACAGTCTATATAGAGTTGCAAATCATCTGCATAAAACATACTTTTACTAAAAATAATACATTCATTTAATCTATGTATGTGTCCGTGAACGCGATAACTTGAGTAATTGTTGTCCGATTTTGATGAAATTTGGTTTAAAGGTGTAGGGCGGGATAAACTTGGTGAGTTT